GGTTGCTTGCTCTGAAACAGTACCATGGAGGGACTAACTTTGGCCGCACAACTGGCGGACCTTTCGTTTCCACTAGTTATGATTATGATGCACCCATTGATGAGTATGGTATGCAATCTTTCAACTATCATACTTATTTTGATGGCACAGCAATGTATGAAAAATATAAAATGTGTTACTTCTTGATGCAGGAATTATTAGACAGCCCAAATGGGGCCATCTTAAAGATTTGCATAAGGCCATAAAGCTTTGTGAAGAAGCACTGATAGCTACCGATCCGACAATTTCATCTCCTGGTCCAAATCTAGAGGTAATAAATAAGAGGCCCTTGAAAGCTTTGATCATAATTCTTGTTTAAAATTTATACCTCTTAAGATTTGTTATTCAATCTCAGACTGCAGTTTACAAGACAGGAGCTGTATGTGTCGCCTTCCTTGCCAACACCGGTACAACCGATTCAACGGTAACTTTTAACGGCAATTCATATCATTTGCCTGGATGGTCTGTGAGCATCTTACCGGATTGCAGAAGTGTTATTCTTAATACTGCAAAGGTTTGCCTCATCAATTACCAATCAAAAGATATGATTAATCAATCTATTGTCGATATATTTTCTTCTATTTCTTGTTCGCAAAGTACCATAAAATAAAGTTATTTTTTCCATACTACAGATTAATTCTGTGTCTATGACTTCAAGCTTCGCACCTGAATCTTCAAAAGAAGTTGATTCTTTGGACAGTTCAAGTTCGAGATGGAGTTGGATTAGTGAACCAGTCGGTATTTCAAAGGCTGATGCATTCTCAAAATATGGACTACACGAGCAAATAAACACGACGGCTGATAGAAGTGACTACTTGTGGTACTCATTAAGGTATATGAGTTTTCAAGGTTGAGACAGTTTTATTTTGACTTGCACTTCTCCGCACCGCGTGTTAACCTTTTTCAATTTGTTTTGAAGCATTGTTAATGAAGATAATGTTGGTGCTCAACCTGTTCTTCACATTAAATCCCTTGGTCATGCCCTGCATGCTTTTATAAATGGAAAACTTGCAGGTAATAAAAAAATTAAAAGATTATATATCTTTTTTACTTCAATTACATATTTCATGAAATATGTAAAGAAATTTCGATGTGTTATTAGTTATTACCGAGAACTTTTTCAGGTAGTGGAACGGGAAAGAGTGGACATGCTAAGGTCAAAGTGGACATACCTATTACACTTGTGGCTGGAAAGAACACAATTGATCTCCTGAGTTTAACAGTGGGATTACAGGTTCACATTTTCTTATAATAAAGTACATAATTAGGCCTCTACAGCGACAAAATCATGGTTTTATTATGCAACGGCTAATGTGGATTTTAAACACCATAGAACTATGGAGCATTTTATGACAGAGTGGGTGCGGGGATCACCGGTCCAGTAATATTGAGAGGTTTAAAAAATGGCAGTACTGTCGATCTCTCGTCCCAGCAATGGACATATCAGGTTAGTCGAGGCTTAACTCAAGGCCTGCTTTTGTTTCTCCTTTTGAGTTTTGGCAAACTAGTTTCATATTTCTAATTTCAGGTTGGACTTCAAGGTGAAGATTTAGGTCTGTCTAGTGGAAGTGTTGGACAGTGGAATTCACAATCTACCTTACCTACAAATCAACCATTAACTTGGTACAAGGTAATCTTATTAAGAATAGAGTATTTGTTAAAATTCTCGAGTTTTTTCTCAGATAACTAATATTGATATGTGTTATATTAGACGAAATTTGTTGCCCCTTCCGGAAGTAACCCAGTTGCAATTGACTTCACGGGGATGGGAAAAGGCGAAGCTTGGGTGAACGGACAGAGCATTGGGCGATACTGGCCAACATACATCGCTTCAAAATCTGGTTGTACTGACTCATGCAATTATAGAGGATCCTATTCTTCATCGAAATGTCTCAAGAACTGTGGAAAACCATCACAGACATTGTAAGTGTTAGACCTGAAAACTAATGCGCTTTGATCATATATACTTACTAGTTTCAAATAAACCAGACCTCTTTGGTACTCATTGAGTCACTGATCCTGCAGATATCATGTACCGCGGTCGTGGTTGCAACCAGACAGCAACATTCTTGTATTGTTCGAGGAAAACGGAGGTGACACTACAAAAATATCATTTACAACAAAACAAATAGAAAGTGTGTGTTCACATGTATCAGAATCTCACCCTCCACCTATAGACACGTGGAATTCGGATACAGAATCAGGAAGAAAGATTGGTCCCGTTCTGTCACTGGAGTGCCCTTATCCTAATCAGGTGATATCTTCTATTAAATTTGCAAGCTTTGGAACTCCTCGCGGAACTTGCGGAAACTTCTACCACGGACGGTGCAGCAGCAATAGGGCGCTATCTATTGTGCAGAAGGCCTGCATTGGATCAAGCAGTTGTAATATTGGAGTATCAATTAATACATTTGGAAATCCATGCAGTGGAGTAACCAAGAGTTTAGCTGTTGAAGCTGCTTGTACATAGTACTTTTTGAAGTGTGAGGACTTTTGGAAGGCCGTGAGGTTTTGCACACTATAATGTGATGGATCTAAGAGAAGGACTAAAAATATATTTAAACTTTATATTTTTTCATTAAGAAAATGAGATCCGCTTTGGACAAATTGAACCTCCATTTTTTTTGGTATTACTGCAATAGTGTCCTCTATTCTTGGTTAATAAAAGCACAGGAGTACTCCGCTGCTTCAACAGCAGTGGGCGTGTCACTCTTCTTTGTGCCACTCTTGGATTTTCTTTGACTCAAAGTCAGTATGATTCATCATCATCCATTCATTGCACTACGACTAGTATTATTCTCATTGGTTATGCTCAAGTGGTCATACAAAAACTTCAAGCCTCGTTTTAGATGAAAGAACTTGGTTGTATTCAATATTTATTATCCTTTGAGGTTGAATCTAATTCCAATGATATTTTTTACCAACACAGTAATATTAGTAGGGGTGACAATCGAGTATGCCTAAAAATAGAATGGGACGGACAAAGTAGAATGTAACACCTTAAATATCTCTCGCGTTATTTAAATAAAATTATCAGATGACATTAAAAATCGTGACATTTAGGATGATATAATTCAACAAACACCTGCTCATGCAACCAGATATGTAATACATACTACTTTCAAAAATTAATAATAATAATAATAATAATAATAATAATAATAATAATAATAATAATAATAACATTTATCATGTTTAAACTTCAATTTTATTAAGCAGCGGAAACATCAACAACTTACAATTTAATTAATCAAAACATAATCATGATTTAAAGTAATCAAAATAAATAACAACTTAGGGGATATCCATAAATTCCCAAAAACTTAAACAACAATAAGTGTTCCCTCTTCCCAGTGTTACACATCAGAGCAGACGCTAATTTTATAAAGGAAGCTTTACCCTATACCCCTGCACTTGTACCCATACCCCTACATTTTTAAAAAAATACTCATTTTATCCTCATATATTTTAATATTTTATTTTTTTTATTTTCATTTTTTTATAATTTTTAGACTTTGAGGAATAGACCCCCAATCAACCGGAATACTCAGAGAATCGCAATGGATACGCATATTCTTTCATACCGGAACACTTTAATAAAGACATCCGGTATTGGGATTTTCGTGTGATCACCGGAACACTTGGAACAAGTCTTCCGGTTTGAAATTTTGACTACCGGAACTCTTGTAACAAGTCTTCCGGTTTATTTTTTGACTACCGGAACACTTGTTGTAAGTCTTTCGGTATGTAGTTTGGCTACCGGAACTCTTTCTATAAGTGTTCCGGTATGTATTGGCCTTTTTTTTATTTTTTATTTTTGAATTTTTTTTTTAAATTATTTTTTTTTACGTATGTATGTAATTTCAGAAGTTCCTTTACAAATATGTGATAAAGATCAAATATGGGTAGATACGTCTGATGTTTTTTCAACTACTCAAAAATTTAATACATGAGAAGAGGTAATAAGATGGATTAAAGAGATCGGAATCCGAAATAAAGTTACGGTTATCATCACTCGTTCAGATATTAAAACAGGTAAGAGAGGAAGAAGTAACAAATTAATATTTGGATCTGATAAAGGAGGAAAACACAGAGATATTGTTAGTGGAACTCAGAGTGCGACGAAAAAATGTGAATGTCCATTTAGAATCAGATCAATTCCAGCGGCTGATGGATCTGGATGGAAAATTGATGTAAAATGTGGAGTTCATAACCATGATTTACCTGATAGATTAGAAGGTCACGCATTTGTCGGTAGGTTGACAGCGGGTCAGAAGCAACATGTTATTGATTTGACAAAGAGAAAGGTTCCACCTAGATATATACTGCTTTCATTGCAAGAGCAAGATCCAGATAATGTCACTCGGATCACGCAAATATACAAACAGAAGAGTACGATAGTAAAAAATATAAGAGGTTCTAGAAGTGAGATACAACATTTGTTTAAGCTTATTGAGGAAGCAGGTTATGTTTATTGGAGTAGAAAAAGAGATGACTCTGAAGTTATTAGAGATATATTTTGGGCTCATCCAGATTCAGTTAAGTTGTTGAATATTTTTCCTACTGTGCTAGTTATGGACAACACTTACAAGACAAACAAATATAGGCAACATCTGTTTGAAATTGTTGGAATGACATCAACTGAGTTGACTTCTGCTGTCGCATTTGCCTATATTGAGTCTGAGCAAACTGAGAATTTTTGTTGGGTGCTAGATAAGCTTAAACAATTGTTTGTGAAAAAAGAGTTGTGTCCACAAGTGATTTTGACAGATAGAGATCTTGCTTTGATGAAAGCCATTGAAATTGTGTTTCCAAGATCGATCAATATGCTATGTCGATATCATATTAACAAGAATGTTGGTGCAAAACGGAAACAATATGTGGCTAGTGACATGCAAAAGAAAATTGACGAATTATAGACGGAGGTTGTATGGGCTAGTGATGAGGTTGAGTATGATCAAATGTTGAAACAACTTGAGCAGGCGTGTGTTGATTGTAATGAATTTATTGATTATGTGAAGGACACATGGTTGACACCACATAGACAAAGATTTGTTGAAGCATGGATTAATCAATTGCTACATTTTGGTAACACCACGACTAATCGGTATGTATTTGTTTTTAGTATTTCTAAATTGTATTTTTTTTTAATTTTTTTAAAATATATTTAATATGTATTAATTTTAGGGTCGAGTCTGCTCATTGGAAGTTAAAGCAAATGTTGGGGAACAGTATTGGTGACATGGTCAAATGTTGGGAGGCTATGAATGACAACTTAAAGTTACAATTGGGTAATATTAGAGCTTCTTTTCAAAAGAGTTTTTATGAAGTTGAGCACGCTCACGTAAGTCCATTTTACAATAATTTACGTGGTTCAGTGTCTCGAGATGCATTGAGACGCATTGCTGAAGAGTTAAAACGAGTTGATTATGTTGGAACTAACAAGGAAAAGTGTCGTTGTACTCTTAGAACAACCTACGGATTACCTTGTGCTTGTGAGTTGACAGGATATAGAATTGATGGTATACCGATACCAATAGAGGTTGTACATGTTCATTGGAGAAAACTAAGTATGGAAGTTAATTTGGACGAAGACGTAGACGATGGATCAGAGGTGGATATGAGTAGTGCAATAGATGAGTTATGGAAAAGGTTTAAGTCACTGGATGTTGTTGGAAAAAGGGCATTAAAAAGTAGGGTTTTTGAACTTGCCTTCCCAACAATGACTTCTATGTGTCCACCACCTGAGAAAATAAAAACTAAAGGGGGAGTCAAGAGAAAAGACAAAAAACCAGTAGGATATGATGTTTATAGAGACCCTTCGTATCACGAATATGTTGATCAAGCATCTCAATCTCAACCATCACAAACTTCGAAGAAGACTAAATTATCACAGTCTTCACAAAAGAAATCTCAACCATCACAAGCTTCGAAGAAGATCAAATTATCACAATCTTCACAGTCATCTAAGCAGTTCATCCTTCAGTTTCCTAATCACATTCGATCCTATATTGATGATGTAGTTAATGGTGTATCAGATGGTAATTGTGGTTTTAGAGACATTGCTTCATTGCATGGATTTGGTGAAGATGGTTGGGCAATGGTTCGTCGAGACTTGGGTTTGGAAATAATACATAATGAAAGATCAAGTTTGTATGCCAATTTATTCACTGATCAGTTAGCAGTGGTGAGAGAATCTTTGATGATAGAGGAAGTCGGTCCTCAACCACCACATAAATGGTTAACTCTACCAGATATGGGTTACGTGATAACGAATCGTTATAATGTTGTACTTGTCTGTTTAGGAATTGAATGCTGGACTTTCTTCCCTATGACAACTTCATTTTCACCGAATGTAGCAATTTACTGCATTGGTTTTGTAAACAGAAATCATTGGGTTCAGGTACTTAGTTGTTTTTAGATAATGCGATTAATCTTAAGTTTTTTTCGTTATTTTTACTTACTATTTTGATTTTTTTTTATTTAGGTAAACATGAAAGAAGGGTTTCCATTGCCACCAGTGACAGTAGATTGGAAGAAGTTTCGTTCTTCAGCAGCAACATCTTGGATGCTAGGATTTGCAGGACGTCTACAACATTGGCAACAACTTACGCCTATATTACCAACGCATTATACATTATAAATTATGTTACTCGTTTTTAATTTCAAAACATGAATAATGACTTATGTTACTCGTTTTTAATTTCAAAACATGAATAATGACTTATGTTACTCATTTTTAATTTCAAAACATGAATTGTGAATCATTCAAAACATACACATAAACCAACTAGATCAAATGAGTCTAAAAGTTAACACATAAACATAAAACAATTAGGTCAAATGAGTCTAAAAGTTAACATATAATTATAAATATAAATACAAGTCACTGTGATCGAGCAATAGATAAAGCTTCGAACAAATCTGCAAACTGTGGGTCATCATCTTCAGCACCAGCCTGCTGAAGATACCGATGAATCAACGAAGACACTCGAGCCCAGCTAGGATCAGATTGTCCTGCTTCATATACAGGAACTGGCATCTCTACTGGCACATCATGATAGGGTGGCGGTACCAAACGAGGATGAGAGACACGATAGTACCACTCAAGATATCCATCATCTGTCTCATATGGGGTGGTGGCCGGTGCTGTCAGACGAATCACATTCTGAACGCTCTGATGGTAACTAATCCAGTCAACATCAATATCACCAGCCATCGTATGATCTAGAGGTGGATGTGGAATATATTGCCGGTATCCAAACTGACGCATACATCTGTCAGGCAAATATGGAACAACAGTGTCACCCCACCTCAGACACCCCCTATATAGACATAGCTCATCAAACTGACACCATACTCTATGATTCTCGAATGGGCGCCATATGACGTCAGCAGGTGTCAGCTCGTCCAAAATAGGCCGCAAGTCATCCACCTTCAACGAACCTTGCCTATAGGACCATCTCATCGCTCGAGGGAGACCCACATTATTAGCTGGCATCCAGTTCTCTCCTTTTTTTCCAAGCGTTGGAAAATACTCATGAATCCAACACTGTTACAAAATTAATATGGTTACTAAATTTAAAATAATTAATTATAACATAATAAACTAGATAAATAAAATATACTACATTAAAATAAATACCTGTAGGAGAGTCGGATAACCATCAAGCTGCTTACAGCTGAACATAGAAGCATCTCCGAGATATCTGTAAAGAGTAACCAATGCAGCTGTTCCCCAACTCTATCCTGGTAAGCCATCCAAGTCTATAAACAGTGACAGGTATCGTGCCTCGACAAGAGTAAACGACTTGTCCGCGAAAATAGTGGAACCCACTAACATCAGCAAATAAGCTCTAGTGGCATAATCCCATCTAGATGCAGCTCTGTGCTCTACGAACAGATCATATAACCACTCCAGCTTATAGTAGGAACCCCTGCATTCACGGATTTGTTGTTGTACTACTCTCTGTGACACTCCTAAATATTGAACAGCCCACTCAACAGCAAGTGCTTCACTAATATCTTGAGGACTCCAGAAGACTCCCCTGATGGGCAAGTGAAGCAGACAAGAAACGTCATCTAGAGTAATCGTCATCTCACCAAACGGCATGTGAAATGAAGATGTCTCTAGATGCCATCTCTCTACAAATGCTGAAACTAGGTTTGTGTCTATCTTTGTTAAACTAGTTCTCTGGAGTGAAGCTAGACCAGACCTAGATATCCAGCCCTCCATCTCTCTGGGTAGCTGTAGTGGAACCCTCTGCATCAACTTCAATCCATGCCCCGCTACCTTTAACTCTTTCTTCGACCCTCTCTCCTGAAAATAATTAAAATAATTAAAAATTTGAATTCTATTGAATATTAAATAATTTTCGTTTTCTTACCTGACCGAACCATATACGGTTTGCAATATGCTGTTCGTATTTAACTAACAGAGATGTATCAGACGGTCCTCCTGGATATCCAACCGGCTCGGATGCTGATGCTGATGCAGATGCATCAAAATGCTCTTCTTCAGCCATTCTCGATGACTCACCCCGTCCTACTCCATGAGGGATCCTACCATCTCTGCCTCGTGTGCGCACCACTGAAAAAAATAAATAATTAAAAATTTAAAAAAAAAAAGTAGAAAAAGAAATAAATAAATAAGTAGAAAAAAAATTAAATAAATAGAAAAAAAAATTAAATAAGTAGAAAATAAATAAATACGTAGAAGAAAAAATTAAAAAAAAAACAATACACCGGAAGTCTTCAGGAGTGTGTTCCGGTGAAGAAAATAGTTTTTGGTCTGTACCGGATGTCTTTTAAAAAGAGTTCCGGTGAAGAAAATCCAATTCGCGTGTACCGGAAGTCTTTAGGAAAGAGTTCCGAAAGACAAAATCAACAAGTTTACAAACCGGAAGACATTCGTTAAGTCTTCCGGTGAAGATGAAAAAAAATTACAAACCGGATGACTTACTGGTAGAGTTCCGGTATGTATTTGATCAAAAATGGCTTTCGGATGTCTTGGTTGAAGTCTTCCGGTTTGTTAAAAGAAACAGAGCTTCCGGATGTCTTTGTATTTGGGAATGAAGGAAAAATGAAAATTTTTCAAAATTATAGATATTTAAACAAGGGTATTTTGGTCCAATATTTTTTAATGTAGGGGTGTGGGTATAAGTGTAGGGGTATGGGGTAAAACTTCCTTTTATAAAAATAAAAGAAAGAACACCATCTTTCACTCGCATCCGCGCTTCTACTGCGGACTATCTGCACGATGCTCGTGTAAAGACAACATTTAATCAGAAGGGGTGAGATGTCATAATTATATAAGAAAATGCATAATAAAAAGTAAGCATCAGATTATTCACGCACAATCACTCATTCCACCAATCACACTTCCATACAACCAACCACAACAATCACTATGCCAAAAAAGACCTTTAGCAGCGCTTTTTTTGGCCTTTAGCAGCGCTTTAAAGCGCTGCCAAAAGTGGCGCTGCTAAAGGTAAAGGCAGCGCTTTTTTTATGGAAAAAGCGCTGCTAAAGGCTCCCTTCAGCAGCACTTTTAACAGCGCTTTTATAGCCCTTTAGCAGCGCTTTCATAAGCGTTGCATATTCCCCCAACCATCCCTCCCTTTAGCAGCGCTTTCACAAAGCGCTGTCTTAGAGCCCACCTTTAGCAGCGCTTTTACAAAATGCTGCCATAGCCCCCCCTTTAGCAGCGCTTTTTAGAAGCGTTGTCTTAGACCCCCCCCCCCCCTTCCAAACCTATAGCAGCGCTTTTGTAGCGCAATGTTTATGACCTTTAGCAGCGCTTTTTTGTGAAAGCGTTGTCTAATGTCCCAAATTTAAAATTTTTTTTTTTAAATATTCACCCTGTTTTGTATATTTACCAACAACCTGCTTATATTACACAAACCTGCTTATAATTCAAGCCTTTATTTCAAAACTTTGGCCTTAAATATACAATTCAAAACTTTGGCCTTATATATACAATTCAAAACTTTGGATACATTGTAACTCATCACTTTTTTCATAAACATTTTAATATACACATAAACCTGTTTAAATATGTTACAACAAAATTCGATCCTAAGAATTACAACATCACAAATACATTCAATTTACATATAATTAAAATTCTTCCAATCCGATAACTCTATACAATTCTCAACCCAAGAATAAATTGACACCATTCCTCTTTAATTTCTTCCAATTTTGCTTTCGTGTAAGTAGCGCACTTGAATTCATCAAAATATTACATAATATAACAGATCGAATAAGATTTAATTTTAAAACTAATTACTCAGATGAAGTATCGGATAATTATCAAAGTGAATCATATAACTTATATAATGAATTGATCCATACCATGACTGGAATCTCAAGTTGACCAGAAAGAATAATTTCCCTCATAAAGCGTAATACAAAATATCCACAGTCAATACCATTGTGCTGCCGAGGACACTGTAAATGGAAAAAACAAACGAACATTTATCAGGATATATAGTTTAAATAGTTTTATCAAGTAGAACCACTATAACAGTCAAAGATGGGAAAATATACCTCCACTCTGATCCAGTTGATGTTGTTAGTCTTGCTTTTTGGCACCGTTGCATCTCTTTGTGCTCTGAATATTTGTATAACTCTAACATAATATAAACGCATATTTAGAAGAATGTCACATAATAAATAAAGATATATAATTAAAGACAACAGTATATCTCATCACTTACGTATCAACCATGTTCCTCAGATTTTCATATTTTGTTGTATCGCCATCCAATGAATCTATATAATACACTATTTCTTTCCTCGGATTAATCGCGACCAACAACCAATGTCCACTATAAAATAAGACAACAGTTTAGACGGAAATGTTATATAGAAAGGGAAAAATCGAACAATTATAATAAATGAATTTAGAATAAAATCTAACCCATGGCCAGTATTATATGGCAACAAGAACAACTTCTTTGTAGTCGCGCGCATAAATCTCTGCACTGTGTACTCTTTGACTGTATCTGGTGTCTGGTCTATTATCCGTGAGTTGACACAGCTAGCAGATAAGAATGTGAATACTGAAGTCAATTCATTCGGGACCAACAACTTGTCATACAAGAACCTAAAAAAACATAATCAACATTAGAATATTCAGTTAAACGAGCAAATTTTAAAATGTTCAATTATTTAATTAAAATGGATCGAAGTACCTGATGTATGAATGCATAACACCGACGCCCAATTCAGAATGGTTGAAAACCTGATCAAAATCCTCCTTAGCAATTGTTTCGGGATATTCAAAACCGAAAATACCTTCGTCCATATGTATTTGACGGATGCCACCCTCAGGCACATCTGATGTTCCCACATATGTTTCAAGACACATCCTAAATCGAGGAACAAATGCTTTTCTGGGCACCTTGGAAGTTTCAGGCATCTTACCCTTGCTGACTTGTTGCGACTGCTGATCATGAACCTAAAAGTCATATATAAGTTCAGTAATTAATGTATAACAAGGTAATCATGTAACTGTAGTAGTACCTGTTTCTTTGATGCAGCTGAATCGGTATCCCGCACAATAATTCTATCATCTTTTGATTTGGATTTTGTAGGAGTCTAAGATCATCATGTAAATAAGAAAATGTAAATGTAAGA